CCCCAAAACCCCAAAACCCCAAAACCCCAAAACCCCAAAACCCCTTATAATATTAAAAATATGGAATTTTGAACTTTACCATCAGTTAGAGCTCAATATCAGTTGTGTAGTCATATTGAATAGTTGGGATTACAGATGACAAGAACTTCAAAAAGATGAACATATAGCTGTCAACGGTCGGCTCCTTTCCATTTTCCATCATTACATCAATCATTTTCTTCATAACGTTTGCATGTTCTCAAGGGTGAATGGTTGCTTGCTTAGGACCATCAATATGAGTATGTTTTTCTAAAGTGACTGTTTTCTTAGCATGTTCAGCCATGACATCTTCAAACATCTGTTTGTCTAAAGGTTCTTTATCTTCACCATAACCTTGAAGCCACAGTCTAGGGGTGGCATAATACTTGTCATAAGTTAGACTAATATTATACCTCCTGCACCTGACAACTCCATCTTCATCATCTTCCTTCTTCTCATCTTCATCATCCTTCTTGGCGAGTATATTATCATCATCGTCATCATCATCTGAATCACACTCATCATCTATATCAACGATTTCATCTTCTTCTTCCTTCTTGATTTCCTCTTTATCAATATCTTCAATTTCAGTTTTCTCCTTCTGCTCAGCGATGACCCAGCCGTCTTCGTCTTCAATCTCGTTGATCTGGTTCTTGTCTTCATCTATCAAATCTTTTGCCCTCATTCTACTAGGAACATCATGGATGATCAAGAACTGTTTGTCATCAGGCAAGGAAGGATTTCTTTTAGATTCGGATCCTGCTTCCCAGCTCCAGGTAGGACATTTATCAACGAGGGTGTCCCCTGCGAGGACAAACTCGTCTGGGGTGAGCTGGCCCTTGGTTAAGAAAGTACTCTCGCTCATCTCGCCCATCATTTTCTCAGCCACGCTTCTATAAGCCTTGTTAATCTCGTTCTTGATCTTGTGCATTTTTTTACAAAAGTTTATAATTTTGGTTGAGTTTCTATTTATTAAGGATTTATGGGGTTTTGGGGTTTTGGGGTTTTGGGGTTTTGGGGTTTTGGGG